GAACCCCCCTCCCCCAATGTGCCCACGAAACTCCTCATTCCTCACAAAATATCTTACCACCATGCAAAAGTGTTAATACTGCCCTCTGACTGCGGTTGGTGTGAGCTCAGGTTAGGCACCAGTATTCAGCTGCTAACTCTGACTATTTGCTGTGCACAAGAAATTTAAGTATTGCTGCTGCAATGGTACAATTAGTCCTCCCAGCACAATCCCACTGTGCCCAGTTTTGCCATCTGTCAAATAGGTCCAGGACTCATATACCAACCACGAGCCCGTATTGCTGAGAAGAGACAGAGAAAATGCAAAACAAAACTTTGCTAGAAGTGTTAAAAAAGAGAAAGCACCCAAAAAAATGTGGTCAACAGACACAGACATACATCTACTCATATCATATACTTTGTTGGGGGTCAGTATGGCAGTTAGTGTGGGCAGTGCCTCAATAGCACTTCCCACCCTTCTGAGAAAAAAAGAAACGTTGTTACGTTAGGTCAAAGGTTTAGGAAGTGTAGGCGAGTTTCCCTAAAACAGCCAAATGTTTGAACTGACCTCTCAATATTTTGAGTTCCTCCCCCTCATTATGTATGAACGCAAGTGGGTAGAACAGGTACCCTGCAACTAATGCCTCATCCACATGATAATGCCATTTTAGTACTGACCATTTGATATTTGTTTATAGATGTCAGCAGTATCTATTAGGTTAGGTTATTCACACATGTACTGCAGTTCCCTTGCCACTGGGGGATATCCCTAACCTAGGGACAGAAGGGGGCAAAGAGTAAGAAAGAATGTCTGGCATGATCCTGATCCCAAGGTTGCAGGTCTGGCTGATCACCAGTTTGGAGGTCAGGAAAAAAACCTTTTCTCCCATGGAGCAGTTGGCAGGGGACCAAGGAGATTTTTGCCTTCCTCACACCACCATCAAGCCACAGGGGGTTAAGTAGGAATGTTTTAGTATCTAATTGGTTGAGTTGTTAATTCTCCTCTACTTGTGGCTGGTTTTCAGCATGATTAAAATCTTGCCTCAGCATGCTTCAGGAGCCAGTAGGACCCAGCAGCTCCTGAATAGATAGGCACAAGCCACTTCCCCCCATCTCTGCATTGGAAATTGCGCAGAGGTGATATTGAATCTGGCCTTTTGTCAAAGGAGTGCATAACTAAGTCATGGATCATTCTGGAAAAGCTTCTTCTCTTAGTGGAGAGCATAAATGCAGAAAGCACAAAATACATGCCTCAGTCTGTGGAAGAAAATTCAGTCTGCCAGCAGCTACAGTATCTCCTTTTATAGATTGTGACAGTGTGTCCACACAGAATTGACTTAAGGCAATGGAATTTTAAGGTTAGTTTTCCTAGGTGGGCTCCCAATCCTAGATCTATCATCAGCTCTTCAGGCGCATATCACTGAAGCTGACTACCATGACACTTTTCCTCTATTTCAGTGGTTTGGGTTTATTAAAAAAAAATATACGCACACTGCTAAAGTTGGTGACCTATAGTTACAGTTAATGCCAGAAGCTGAAACCATAGTTTCTCTAAGTTAAAAAGTGTTTCACAGGCTAATACCACAGCAGTGTTTCTACTGAATCTTTCTGAATATGTGAAAAAATGCTTTCAGCATTACATTACTTGATAATAGAAATGGCATTTTCTCTTAGATGTTTAAGTGAAACTCATGAAAGAGATGACTACTAAGCCAAACATTTGTTTGGCTTTGCTGCAATAGGCTGCAGGAATGTAAACTTTTTTTTCAATGACTTCAGCTCCTAATTTAAAAGCTAGGATTTTTAGCAGGGAGCAAGAGACTATATTTGGCCAAAAAATTCTGCTGGCTTGACTTAGTTACTCGACATATTCAAAACAATACTTCTTTATCAGAAAACAATAGTCTGTTTTATTCACAGCACATGTGAAAGTTGGATCATCCACCAAATTCCACTTTCTTCCCTTGCAATATGTCTGTGACCAGCTAACGAGCTGTGACAGTGTCTGTGCTTCATTTTCAACAAATTAAGTTTCTGCCTCACAGGAATTGTGGTCTGGCTATGGCACTGCTCCTAGGTATGGGTGGGGCTTGTTTCTTCTACCAGTTGTAGGTTAACCACATGGGTACGTGCTGTCGCACCACACAACAACATCTCCTCTATAATAACTAGTCTAAGTAGCCATTTACCCCACAAAAGTAGAGCCCATTTAATTTACTTTGTGTTTACAGCACTCCCTTTCAAATCGCATCGTTGGCACAAATGGATATTTATACAACTTTTATTTTAAACTATTTATTTAGAGTTGAGACTTCAGTAACACTCACTGTCAGATTTATAGTGCAATTTTAAAACCAGGATTCTAAAAATGTAATATTTCAAAGAGAAGGAGGCAGACAATGAATTTATACACGTGGGAGTTTATTCTCCTTTCTCTAAGTATGTATATATGCCATTAACATAAATGCGAGTTCTGCATATTGTTGATGAGAGAATCAACGATACTGAGTAGACTGTGCATGTACGTATTTATACAATAGTAGTTGATCAAACATCTTTGATAACGTGAACTGTCATCAAGCTTCATCCAAATACATCACACTGTTGAGGTAAAATGCATTTTAAATTACATTTTTAAATTGCCATACTCCATTGAAAGTAGATCCCATTTAATTTACTTTTGTGTTTACAGCACTCTCCTTTCAAATTGAATGGAATATTCCATTCCTCACCAATCCTCTCACAAATCAGGTGCATGCTGCAGAGAGAAAGAGGAAAACAAAACAAGAAACTGACTCCTATTCAACCACTAAAATTAGGTCTAGTCTAAAAATGTCTTTAAAAAAAGTGTGAATCCCTCAAAGCCAGCCAGAGAAGGAATCATCTTCTTCTCAATTCGAGCTTTTTACACACAGCAGAATTGTCAATATTCTTAGTCATGGTGGAAAGATTAATTTGGATGGATGAGTGAATGGATGGAAAACCTCTTCATGAAAATACTGAACATTTGTTTCCAGCCACTTATTGTCTTGTACTCCATAGATATCAGAAGAATGAATGACAATGTAGACATAGATATACCTGTCACAAAAGGCTCTTTCCTCCAAAGAAAAAAAAAGTTAAGGTTGATTGACCCTACATTTGACATAATACATTTTCTCCATGTCTTTGCAAAGCCCACGTTGTAATACATTGCTGACAATCAGACTGCTGTCGAGCCAAACCCTTTATTATGAACAGGACTATGTACAGCAATGAAGTAGCAACATTTTCTACTTCTTTGTGTAGATGCAATCTGCCACTACCTGTCTTGTTTATTGTTTCTGCTCCAGCAAAAACATGTCCCAGGAAACAAAAGTCTGCATCTCCTGTGTACATCTCTCAACTTCCTGAAAGACTTACCCTGTAGCACACGTTCAAATGCTTCTGTTTTTTCCCTTTAAAACACCATTCCAAAACTTATTTTAAGAGATATTCCTAATGCCTGCAGCTCAGCAATAATGAGCAACCCTACAATAAATAAACATTGTGCAAGAATATGTATTTTAATTGAAAAGATTGAATAGTTGAGAGCCTGACAGATTATTATAATAATAACCACAAAAACCTTTACAAATATGATCTGCCTTTCATGTAGAGATCTCTAAGTACTTACGAATTTTAATTTTCACACAATACTGTGAGATAATGTTGTTATCCCATTTTACAGTTGGGTAAAATAGAGACATAGAGAGGTGAAATGACTTATCCAAAGTCACACAGCAATTAAGAGGCATTGCCAACAATAGAATTCAGCATTTCTGATTCCCAGTCCTGTGCATTAGCTGCAAGGGCCCAGATTCTTAAAGTCTGTAAAAATACCCCCTCGTACTTAACATAATGCATTACGTACAATGAGTATTCCAATGAAGTCATTGGGACTGTACATACTGAATAAAATTAAACATGTGTTATAAGTCTTTGCAAGACTGAGACCTAGACCAGGTACCTTTCCATAGTCCTGTGTTACAAAAAAACAAATGGTATATTATACAAATGGTATATTGCAAAATTAAGAAATTCTACAAATATAACAGGCAAGAAACATTGTTTTTAAGTCTCTTCATAAACTTAATTGCATCTGGGGCTATATTCTGCTGCTCATACTCAAGTGAGTAATTACATTAACTTCAATGGGATTCCTCACATGAGTAAAGCAAATGGATTTAGACACACAAACAAGTCAGCTATTAAAGAAACAATGCTTTCAAAAGGATTGATCCTGCAAACTCTTCTCTAATTGGACATAGTGCTTATTATCCTGAATGTATTCACAGTGTGACAGTATAACAGAGGTGTATAAGTCCCATACAGCCTTTAGAGCTAGCAGGCTTCCCTGCAGAGTGAGTGGGGAGCTCACCCTTATATGAACTGCACTAGTTCCTCTAATCCCATAAAAAGCTCCCCAGCACAAGAAGGCTATTTTATCTGTATGTGCTGAGGCTGAGGGCAAGTGGGTGGAATGGTTATACAGTGGGGCTTTCAGTAGTAGAGGGGCACCATTCTAACCAGTAGAATGAATCAGCGGACACACAGTTGTTGTGTGGCACTCCTGAGTCCTGAGTTCTTGTGGGGGGGGGGGGGGGGAGAGAGAAATTTCACCCACAAAAAATATACTATTACAGATGATAGTGCTATATTATCACCCCCACCCACTGACAAGTTAGTGAAGGGAATATAAAACATACCTCCTTCAGGAATCCCTTGGGAGTTGTATAAAATAGATTCTTAACTCACAGTTAATACTTACTTACCTCACTTGAGTGCTAAGAGTCTCAATTAGTTTTTGTTTCCACAGACTTTTGAAAACATGAAGTGCTCATGTAAGTGCAAAATGCAAAAATCTTTTATTGTCATCTCATTATAATCTTTTTGCTTTGGAACCAATGAGGGTAAAATTACTGCCACAAACATTGCATTGCATGGTGTTTATGCTACAGCATTTTTCAATGTGATCTTTGTCTTATTATCAGAAGTAGTTACCTTTTAGTTCACTTCCTCCCACTGCATGCAGTCCATTTCTGTGGGGGTGTGCTAGCAATCTAGGAAGCAGCTGTAGGATGAAATTTGATTGTCAGAGGTGTGGGTAGAGTTTCAAGTGGTTGTAGACAAGTGCAGGTGGACAACACCTAAAAAATGTCATTATCAAGCATTTGCCTTATTTATAAGTGGTACAAGAGAACTTATTATAGGGCCCAGTACTTCAAATTTTACTCCCACAAAATGGGACTACTACTGAGAAATAAGGACTACTCACAGAAATAAGGATTTCATAATTAAGTGCATAGTTGAATAGATTTTGAGAAAATGAATTGTGCTCTTGTGAGTAATTCATTTCTGAATACTGTGAGGAAGAATTTTATTTTCAATAAAAATGATGCAAATGAAATTATAGACTTATTTATATCAATAGTATGGAAAATAAAAATATTTATATGTTGATCTTAGTTTCAGCTACTACAGCTTCACTCTTTTCCCACCTAATATGTACTGTATATGTAAAATTAAATTGTGTATGTGTGTACGTAGTCTATACTCTTTATAGTGATTTTATTGGAGATTATGTGCAGCTTAAAGCTGAGCTTTTCAGCAGCAGAGTTGGCTCTCTCTCAAAAATAATAGGAAGCTGAATTGCCATTTTTGCTTTCATTGCCCTGTGTGATATAGTATACAATTTAGGACGTTGACATCTAAAAATAGAGCTGGGCTCCTTGCCCAAGAGAGCCAGAAAGTAGTACCCCTGTTAAAATGCCTTTCTTAAATACAAGGTAGAAGTAAACATTCAAGCAGAGCTCTTTGTACATAGATATTTTCTAGTAGATCCTAATAGATTTTTATCTCACAATGTCAAAAAAGTGAAAATGTGTATAGATTCTTGTTTCTCATATTATTGTGAGTTTTGTGTCTATGATTTTAGTTAGGTTCAGTATTTATTTAAAAGTCTGTGAAAGTTAATTTAAAAGATATCGTTGATGGAATATTCCAAAAAATAAATACTTTAGTTTTATGCCAAAAACTGGGAAAGCAAATATGTCTAAATTTAGAGCTTTGGAATTCAGAGCTTTTTTGTCAGCTAAATAAAATTTTTCAGAAGCTCTAGAATTGAGAGCACTATAGTAACAGCTCTACAAACTGATTCTTCATTACAGTTACCCGTTGAGAGTGTCGCTGAAGACATTTCCTCTGGGAACACAGAGACTAAAAATCAATTCTGATAACATTAGAACAAATTTGAAGAGCAAAAAGCCTTAGAAAGCATGTGATGAATAAATGGGGAGATCTTTACTCCCTGTGTAATTTTTTATTTAACTGAAATACTAGTATTTTACTTCCCAAGTTGAATTATCTACCAGCTTTTTATTTTTCTTCCGAAAGCTTTTGTAAAACTCATGCTGAAATGATTCACTGTAGAGACAGGGATGATATCCAGGTATTTAAATTCCTGAATAAATGGAGTGTTTACAAAATCGACAGATAGGAAATGTGAAAAACTCAGGAATTAAAATATTAATAAAATCATATTAATCATTTTATGATGTTATAACCCCCTGTGATTTACACTCTTCCCCATGCAACTGCCCATTGCTGAGATACAGTAGAATGGATTACCTACCTTCTGGACAAATGTCTGAAGGTTATGAAAATAAATCGAGCACATTTAGCTGAAGTATTAGACAATCATCCTTTTATGTGCCAGAAATCTTCATATAAAATGTGTATTTATAATCTTTAAGAAGAAAAGTTTATTTTAGGCACCTTCACCATGAAGGTCAGCTGACGTTTATACTATGCACAGAATTTATCCTGTGGCTTAGGGTGTCAGCCATAATTCTAGGCTGATAGTTTGTAAAGGGAAGATTCCATTTTGTACTGTTTATAAAATGTGATTCTGCAGATTCATGCTCCAAGACTAACAAAGTCTATCCAAGTATAGTCAAGCGCTTCAGTTTAACTTACTGCATTCATTAAACTAGGCTTAGATTGTCCTAATTATATGTTATCAACAATTAAGAAATGTATCACATGCTGCAGACTGGCTAAAACATTCTGTGTTCTTGGATGAATGCCAGCAGAGGTGTCAAGTTCCATACTACCTTGTCATCAGCTGCAGCTCTCATTTTGCAGTACAGGCAGCAGCTGTGCTAGACAAAATAATCTAAATTCTCACATGTACTTTTCCTTTAGGAAACAGCTCACACTGAATTGCATATCTGGTGGTGAACAGTGCTACACCTGAGTGAGCTTGTGCTGAAAACGTTTTTTATGCAAATAAAATGTTAACTCATAATCTTTCATGACTTTCAGATGTACTTTTTCATCTTATGAGAATAAGCTTGATGTTCATGCTAAAGGGATTACTAACTAGACTTATGAACAGTAAAGCACTGCATGTGCATTTTACAATGATTTGCTATACCTCAGATTACAAACTTTTTTCTTATACGGTTTCTGTTTTAAAAACATGAAGTACTTTTACTGTGCTAAAACAAGCCCTCTGCCCCTAAGAGTATGTAAACTGAAGGATCAATCAGTTGGGCAAAAAGAAAAAGGCAAGTGTTTAAGCACTTATTTTATTAGTTGCATGTTTTTTGTTTGCTTGAACTTTTCAATTTTGTTGACACTTATTTGAAAGGAGAACTAGAGTTCATAATCTCCTGGAAGTATGTTTTAATTAATTAAGGACTTGAAAGAGGTGTGGGTGGAGATATATTGGTCTGGGTCAGGGACATGTTTTTGGCTAAGAGGGGCCATAAAGCTTAGAACTAGTACATGTAATACATATAACTGACATGGTAATTGTGGACTATAGGCTCAATCAACCCTCGCTACAGTTAATAGGAAAATTGCCATCAACTTCAAAGGCAGAACAGTTGAGCCCTTTATCCTTATGTGACGGAAATCCACATGTGACTCTGAACTCAGATAATCAGAGTATACCAACAGGGTAATGGCAACATACTACATCCTCTACCTGTTAGGCGGGATCTGATGGTTATGTCTGTCTCACTAGCATGGCTTTCCAGAACCACATTCCTTCATGTCAGGAGTTAACTAGCATCTAGTCTTTTATGAAAGAGATAGATTTGTGTGTGCAGTATTGCTACAAAATGCTGGGACTCAACAAACAAACTAAGAGCTCTCACCTGGGATTGCACCCTGCCTCATCTCAGCATACAGTTATCATTCTTTGTGACATAGCTATTAGTGTAGTTAAATAGAAGTGTCAAGGGGCATCTGGTATCCAGCAGTATTATGAAGCCCTACTATTATTATTGTTATTATTATTACATTTATTTAGAATTTGCATATATGCACGGCTCTACGCATAGCGGCTATGGACATGGTCCCTATTGAGAAAAGCCTAAGGCAGAAGGAATAGATGAAGGAGAAAATACATAGGTTATGATTATAGAATGGTGTGGGTGCTATTATGCATTTTCATAGTTGTCTGTTATTCTTTTAAACCATTTTCTGCAAGAAAATTCATTAGATTCTTAGGTTGAGTGATCACAGGTCCCTGGGAACTACGCAGACTGTGGTCACACCCAGCAGCTCACCCAAACTGTTGAAGAAAGTGGCCAGTGAAGCTCTAGCCCACAAAGAGCCCCACTCACAAAACGAATTGGCAGGGATGCACTGTTTAAATCAGAAAGAAGCAGAGGAGGTTGTGAATCTCAGGATGGCTGTTGCTGTAGCACCTGCCTCCTGAGCCCTGTCTTCCAGCCTCTTCCTGGTTCCTACCTTCTTTACCCCACACACCAGCATCTGTTTCTAATTCCTGCTTTACTCCTGGATACCACTTCTACACCCTATCCTTGAGGTGTGAACTTGGTTCTGACCTTGGGCTTGGCACCTGACTTTGGCTCTGACCTTTGTCTCAACTCGAAACTCAGACCCTGGCTCTAATTCCAGACTCCTGACTCAAACCATTAGACTTGACTATCCATGCCCCAGTCCCTATAATTATTTTAAAAGAGAAAGATGAGTTTTGAGGAGTGATTGGAAGGAAGGGGGGATGCTCACATGGCATGTAGGTTCAAGAGAACATTTCAGACCTATAGGGCAGAAACATAGAGACACTTGTGGGAAGTGAAAAGAAAGGGGGAGTGAAGATGATAGAAATGGCAGACCACTGGGTTCCATTGGGAAAGTGTTGGGTGACCAATGATGAGATGTAGACAGAGGCAGAGCTGTGAAGTGCCATGGAAGTGATTTTGTGAGGTGCTTGAAACTGATGAATGCACAACCAATGAAACATGCATATGTACCAGGAAGATGAGTTTGGAAATAATCTTTTGGATAGATCCTTAGGAACTGCAGTAGATGTTAGAAGGCCAAAGAGAAGGAGATTGCAAGACAGCAGGCAGGAAATTATCACAGCCAGGGCAAGAATTTTAACAGGAATTGTATTAAGAAGATATAGATTCTGGATTTGTTGTAAAAAGAAGAATCAGAAGGAATTAGTGCTAAGAAGTGAGAGGTGCCAGAGCTGAAGATGATGTTGCAGACCAAAGGAAGAGTAATTCAAATATATACCATGGTAAAAAAGCGAAGAGGGGAGAACACAGGAGAGGAAAATAAGGAGTTTTGGTTTTGTTATTCTGAGTTTGTGGATGGAGGGATATCCTGGAAGCACCGAGCAAGGAATAATATTCTTTGTGAATTCTGGTGATTAGACAATGACATTTAGTGGAATGTCTGCCTCTTACACTCTGTGAGATGTCCTGTAGGGAGATGATAATATATACCCATTTTTGTACCATATTTTGAGATCCTCAGATGTATTGAGTTATGTAAGTGCAAGGTATTGTTGTTAAGAAAAAGACATAGACTAATAAGATTCCAAAATAGAGGATGTAACCGTAGTGTAGAACTGTCCATGTGGTATACATAATCGACATCAACAGCATAAGCCCAATACAAGACATAAGAAAACACAAAATACTAGTGATACTTTGCACTCATACAATAATACTTTGTACATCTATAATATCTTCCATCTGAGGACCTCATAGAATTTTATAAACTTGATTAGTGAATGAACCTTTAAAATACTCAAATATTATAAGTACAGTCAGGGGGATCTGACAGACTTGTTGCGCCCATGGGCAAAGTGGTGGGGAGCAGCTCCATGCTCCTGGAAGTGGTGGGGCTTTGGGTGGAAGGAGCAGGGCTGGCTGGGAGCTCTGGATCCTTGCTTCCCCCTCCCCCGCTTTGACAGGCTTGCATAAAGTAAGGCTACGTCTAGACTGGCATGATTTTCTGCAAATGCTTTTAACAGAAAAGTTTTTCCGTTAAAAGCATTTGTGGAAAAGAGCATCTAGATTGGCACAGACGCTTTTCCACAAAAGCGCTTTTTGTGGAAAAGCATCCGTGCCAATCTAGACGTGGTTTTGCGTAAGAAAGCCCCGATCGCCATTTTCACAATCGGGGCTTTTTTGCGCAAAACAATACCGCGTTGTCTACACTGGCCCTCTTGCGCAAAAGCATTTTCAAAGCATTTGCCTGAATGGGAGCAGCATAGCATTTCCGCAAGAACACTGACAATCTTACATGAGATCGTCATTGTTCTTGCGGAAATTCAAGTGGCCAGTGTAGACAGCTAGCAAGTTTTTCCACAAAAGCCCCTTTACAGATGGGGAAAGTGAAATACAAGAGCTAAATACTAGCTCAGGTCACACAACTCAATTCCAAAGACCTCAGAAGTTTCCTAGCTCAGAATCCCCCCTTTTTTCCTCTCAACTAAACTGTATTGTCTCATAACAGCCTAGTGACATTGTTAAGAATTATTATAATATATATTTTGAAGAATGGAAAACTAAGGTTCAGTGAGAGCAAGAGCCTTCTCAGAGTAATGCAATGAGTCTGTAATGACCATGTAGCAAAGGGGTGGGCAATAAGCAGCCCATGGAACAGACATGGTTCTCCAGTGGGCCATCAGATGCTTCATTCACCTGCAGGTCTGAAGGGTATGATCACTCGCAACTCCCGCTGGCCATGGTTCACCATTCCTAGCCAATGGGAGCTATAAGAACAGGAGCTGTGAGCAGCCGTACCTGTGAACACACAGGTGAATGAAGCATCAGGTGGCCCTCCAATGGCTAACCGTAGCAAACCACATCCAGCCTGTGTGTTGCTTATTGCCCATCCTTGATGTAGCATGTGTCCAATTTATTAGAACAGAATTGGGATACACAGAAACAGGGAAGAATACATCACATATCTTCTAAATAAAGGAATACTGTGTCAAAATGGAGTAATATCAAGCACTGTGAAAGAAAAATGTAACTGACTATATCAAGACAAGGTGGGTGAGGTAATATCTTTTAATGAACAACTTTTGTTGGTAGAAGAGAAGAGCTTTCAAGATACAAAAAGCTTTTCAAGTATGTGACTGAATACACACACATGGGAGAGGACATATATGAAGTCTGTCACATGCCCCAATTGAAGCAATTGTAGTATCTGATAAGGTTCCCTCACAGACTATGTTTGACATTGTTACAGTAGTCAGCCTACTGTCCCCATTTAGCTCCTCGATGAGCTGTGAATATTTCAATGATGATGCATACTCAGCTCTCTGGTGTTTCATCTATGTTTCATCATGCTGGGAGAAATTAGTCTTTGAACATTTCTCAGTAATGTTGTGAAGAACATAGGGAAATTTCCCTATGACTTTTATAATGACAGATACAGGGCCTCCTCTTTCCTCAGAGCGGTTTTGCACGTATCTCCTGCAAGCATC